AATTTGACACCAAATAATTTCTGTACGCCTAAGCATTGCAGAGATATGAAAATTTCATATTTTCAAAAACTTTAATTTTACAAACAACCTCGATAAGCATTGGGTTTCATTCTAAAGGCTGTATTAGGGAATTTCAATAGACCAAATCTTTATCAGATGGAAATTTCATATTTTTAAATAAAAACATAAAAAATGAGGTCAAAGAGGTCAAATAATATTTCCAGTACTTTGGATTTTGTACTATCACATTGTGTCCTACCACCAAGCCAAAGGTCGCTACTATAACATCTCAATAAACATATTATGTCAAGGCCTAATAATAAACTGTATTTTTCAGTAAAATGGCATTTTCACATATTTTCCTAAAACACGATTTTATAGAAATTCTCAGTAAGCATTTGTTTTCATGAAAAAGGTTTTATTAGAGCAAATATAAATGTATTGTCTGATCAATTTTACACCAAAATAATTTCTTTCTATAACCCTAAGCATTGTAGATAGGCCCATATGACTATTTCGAATGTTTGTCCAAAAACATCTTTAAGAATAATCTCGATACGCATTAGGTTTAATGCTAAAGGTTGTATTAGAGCAAATATAAATGTATATGTTCTAAACAATTTGAGACCAAAATAATTTCAATAGACCAAAGCGTTACAGAGATATGGAAATTTCATATGTTTTCAATTAAAAAATAAACAAAAATAAGGTCAAAGTTCACAGAGACCAAATCATATTTCCAGTAGCTTGAATTTTGCACCTCACATTGAGCTCTACCTCCATGCCAAAGGTCAGTACTGTAAAGTTTCAATAAACATACGACAATGCCTAATAATAAACTGTATTTGTCAGAAATTGGCATTTTCATATACAGTATTTGCACAAAAAATTATTTTAATGAAATTATTAGTAAGCATTAATATTCATAAAAAAGGTTGTATGAGAGCAAATAGGCCTATAAATGTATGTCTTCTGAGCAATTTGGCACCAAAATAATTTCTATAGACCTATGCGTTGCAGAGATATGACCATTTCATATTTCTGCCAAAAAAACATGATTTTAAAGAAAAATCTCGAAAAGATTGGGTTTCATGCAAAAAGTTTTATTAGAGCAATCAAAATCAAAATTGAGGTCAAAGGTCAGAGAGGTCAAATCAAGTAAATTGGTTTTGGTATCCCCATATTATGACCTATCACCATGCAAAAGGGCAATTGTGTATCCATTACTGTAACAGCCCATCCATGTTTGTACTATTAAGGACTGGACTACTATACACAAATGAATTCAGAATCGATAGTAACAATGTTTGTTTAGTAAAGTATGCTGATGACTCAGTTATTACTGATTTGATCAGAACATAAAATATAATTAGATTTGAATCGTGGTGTAACGAACAGTTCCTTATTTTAAATCCTGCAAAAACAAAATAAATTATTTTTGATTTGAAGAAGAAAAGTGCTAGACAAAGCAATATAATCTGTTAATGAACATAAACACTTAAGGACGACGTTGATAGCGAATTAAACTGGAATGCAAACACTGTAAATATTGTGAAAAAAGTCAAACCAACGTCTGTCTTTTATCTTAAACCGAATTCCTTCAAAGTAATAGTGATGTGCTTTTCCATATTTTATCAGTGTCTTGAGTGTTTTATCTTTTTATTGTTGGTATAACAGAGTAAATAATAAGAAGGAACTTATAATCTGTTAATGAACATAAACACTTAAGGACGACGTTGATAGCGAATTAAACTGGAATGCAAACACTGTAAATATTGTGAAAAAAGTCAAACTAACGTCTGTCCTTTATCTTAAACCGAATTCCTTCAAAGTAATAGTGATGTGCTTTTCCATATTTTATCAGTGTCTTGAGTGTTTTATCTTTTTATTGTTGGTATAACAGAGTAAATAATAAGAAGGAACTTGATAAAATCATAAAAACTGCAGGTAAAATAATAGGCAAATGTTAATGTTATCGACGAGATATATAGACGTGATGTCATTAGCCAAGTTAAGAAAATTATGGAAGATATATAAATATTAGGCCTAATATAATTTTAGGCCTACGATTAAAATCTATATGGGTGAATGATGTACCTACTTAGGACTTCCGATTTTGGGGTATGCCTATCTGCGTAAATAATTATTTGCGATATAAATATAACGACTGATTGCTTAATTGACTAATTGATTGAATACGCAAACTAACAGTTTCGAGACACACAATTACAAAACATCCAATTTTAGAATGCTTGCGTCAGTCGTATGAACTTCGATTTTTGTATAGGCCTATGTTGTACGGCAGAAATTTAAAGTTGCAAAAAAACGCACCCAATTGGCCTGTACCTATAGAAACTCTAATTTTTTTTAGAACGTTAAAATTAAATATTTAAAATTGCTTTTTAAGACAACAATACGCAAATATCATGTTGTCATTATCATTGCATTTCATTTTCATTTCATTATTTATTCGGTCTTTTAAACAACATTTATAACAGAAAATGACAAAAAAAACCCTTTCCTTATTATTTAGCATTTGTGACTGTTTTTTGCATGAATTTGTGGTAAATAAAGCTGGCTTTGCCACACGAAATAAAATAAAAAATAAAATAAAATAAAATCCCGGAAATTTGGGAGACCAGGGTCTCCCTAAATCACTGTAGCTAAGCCAGTTGACCCAACTCCAAATTCAGCAAAACACAGAAAAATCACACAAGATAAGAAATGTAAAAAAAAAACACATTACGTGAATCAAATTAAACATTGTCATCATCAAAATTATCATCATCATCATCATCTTCATCATCATCATCATCATCCCCATCACCATCACCATAACCATCATCATCATCAACATCATCCTGTATAGCATGGAGGTTTATCCAGGCATATATGTGAAGATTTTCAAAATATATTATTTAAAATTATTATCAGTACCGATCGCAGTCATCGCCCGACAGGCACTCAAAGCAAAAAAGTAAATAAAACTACAAATAAAACAAAACAAGTAAGATGTTATGCAAGGTAGAAGGAAACACTTATAATAAGCTTATATGAGACTTGGACTGTCTAACCGAATCACAAGACCTGAAAAAGTTAGGCAGACCATTCTAAAGTTGGGTGGCAATTGAAGCAAATGAATTGCCACCTATACGTTTATGTTAGACCGGTGTCTCACAAACTGGATGGTGTTGGAAGATCTCGTTAAGCGCACATGATGGGCGCGTAGTATTAGGTAATTGGAAATATACAAAGGGCAGAAGCACGAGAGCGTCCGTCTCTAATTTGAGAAGTTACTTACTTTAAAATTCTTATAACTTAAATATAGACCTGATTGATATTATTTCATACCTTTAATGCTAAATATGTACTGCAGAACACCCGCAAAGATAAATAACGTTTATCATGTTGTTCCAGGAAAGCAGAAATGTAGATGGTCTTACTCTGCTGGTCGTGCGTGCCTGGAGTAGATGTAACCTCAACATTAGCTTTAATTCCTGTAAAGTGGTTCAAATACAAAAACACGTCACCGTCTTCCAGAAAACAGAAACCATCTTTACTGGTATCCAGAGACCTCCATACCATAGGGTCTCCTAATTTTTGAACACTTAGTTTAATAGAAGGCGGAATATGGTGTGCCGCAAGCTCTTCATGTCCTGGTTCTGATTTCGGGAAACGTAACAGTACCGAGTTGCTAAATGTAAGACCAGGAGGGCCACAGATAATAACATCATAGCATACAAAGTTACTTTGGACTGTGTCTGCATACACAAATACATATTCTGCATCTCCAGCTAGTTCCATTGCCCCAGGAGGAATGTGCAACTGGATTCCTCTACTCACTAATTCCAAATATCCCCCGTTTTTACCAATAAGTCCAATGACAAATTTTCCATCTTTGCTTATCGATTGATTGAAACACGTATTTGTTTCTGTACGTCTCCATGTGTCGTACATTAGCTCACATCTTTTTGATATCATATTTTCTTGGTATTGCGTCTCAAAACTATATCTATCACTAAAAGGTGTAGGCCAAGGGCCCCATCCCGCTGCCATGTCGTTACACTCTGCGGATGTCACGTTATGCTGGCAAATAAAACTAGTATGTTCTGACATTTTCTTGATTCCTTTTAAATAATGCGTTCTTAGAATTGGCAATATCTGAACAGGTTTGTTCACTTTTAAAGTTGTTTTCATAGAATCGAGCTCGTACTTAACTTCCTTATAGAAAATGAAAGTAGGAACGTCAGATACAACATGTTAAACGGGCTATATTGCTTTCTTTTGTGAAGATTTTCTGACAAAAAAGAGTTACAAGCAAGCGGGCGCCAATGAATACATACGTACCCTTAGGCTATTCCTATGACTAATCAGAATACTAAATGGCAAAAATAAATACTTTGTTACTTGAAATTGAGTTATTTTTGTTTAAAATGAAGCAGACAGGAAATCAATTGTGTCGTTTTATTTTGGAATAATATATAAGCATTAGATTCTAAAATCGATTAAATAATGTTAAACCCTTAATTTCCGGGGGATACGCCGCCTGGGCACGCCGTCTGGATCACTTCCGAGAGATTGTAAGCGACGCCCGACCTCACCAACTTTAGGTTCTAGTCGACGGGTCACCCCCTCCCCCTTCTGAGGTATCGGACCCATCCCAGGTGAAATCCTGGCGCCGCCTATCTTGCTATCGGAAGTTCTTGGGTTCGAATCTTGATAGGGATATACGTTCTAAAAAAAATTATCATCTTTAATTATCATCAGTGAAGGTAGGCCTATTTTTCATGCGATTTACTGTATTATTCATCGTGCCCGGCTTGACCGAAAACCTAACGGAAAATTCCAAGGTTGTATACTCCTTTTGGCCTAATGGCTCAGTTAACGCTTAAGGGCATAGTGTATACACACGGTAATCGGATGGTCTTGGATTTAAATCGCGGTTAAATAGGGCCTATTTAAAATTCCAAAAACTTATCATCATGGTTTAAACTTCAAGTTAAAAAAAAAGCATTCTTCCGGTAGGTCCTCAAATTGGTTTAATATCTTTAAAATCTGAATTAAGTCGGCTCTGATGCGACGATAAGTAAGAGATGGCAGTCCAAGTATTCGGAGACGATTTTATAATATGGGTTATTGGAAGATTATTAGACACATTAAATTGACGAGGAAAATGTTATAATTTTCGTCTGAAAGCTAAACACAATAAGATAAACAAAAAACTTTCAAGTTGTAACACCTGAAGTATATTTTTGAAAATATTAAAGTATTAATAACGCACGCATTGCAAAAGTACATTGACGCATGACCGTACTCGTGCGAATAAGCGCTCGGGCGCTTAAAATATTTTTTTTTTTGCACTTTTTGAGGGGCACTTATTCAAACGGGGCGCTTATCAAAACAGAGTGGAAATTGAGTGTTCGCTTACGGATGGGAACTTAGAAAATTCAATGGGCGCTTTTTGAATAAAAATAAAATTATATAAGGACATCTGGAAACCGAAGATTACGAATGGTTCTGGTGCATGAAAAATAAACTGTCCAGGGAGCTATCCTACGGTCCAGGAGAACATATCCTCATTTTGAAATTGATATAAGAAGAAAATGTGAATCCACTCCTCAGCTCAAATCATGCCAACCACAGTCTCAGGATTAGTTAGATTATCGTTTGTTAAAAAAAAATAAAAAAAAATCACAAGATATTGTTTTCAAAAATGAATAAACACCGAGGGCGGGGCGGGGCGCTTAAGACTCACGTTTTGAGGGCCGCATGCCACACTTTTGTACAAGTTTCTTTACTGTAATTTTAATTTCGTTTGTCTTCGTTCGTATATAAGTAAAATTTCCACGATCTGAAGAGATATGCGACCCATTACATTTTTGCACGACACAAACATGCGCAAGTGATTCGAATCACGTTTGTGTTTTTTTTTTTTCGTAAGTATATTTGGGAACGTACTGAGTATTCGGTACGATAACACGTCACTTAGGGCAAAACTCACTCCTAAGATGTACATTTAGGATCTCCTACTAAACATCCAGGAAACCAGGCTTAAAGGTCTCTTCTTGTCTGAGCTATACGATAAGATGGTACCAACTGCTTTCATCAGTCCACAACGGGGGCCCCTTGGACTGGGGCCCAGGGCTTCTCCCTGGAGAGCCCATAGGTTTTACGCTACTGAGTTAACTGTCTCTACTCTTCTAATGAACTAGCCACTTTCGTAAAAGAACACTTATAACGTAGGCCTAGTTAAAAAAACATAAATCAAAATTTCATAAGCCTTTAAGGTTTCCGTTTGTGTTTGTTCTCTCTTTGCATTTTTATCTTCGTAAATTTTGAACTATTGTATATTAATAATGAACGAATTTTCGGCTGTACTTCATGAAGAAAAATCCTTTCCATATAGGCCCGCTGAATAAAACTACGAAATTCTTCAAGCATAAAGCGACCACCAGGTGGTAGGCCTATTTCTATTATTGTTATACGGTATCTGTGATAATAATTAATACCCATTGACAGATAATTTTTGGCTTGAGGCTTTGCAGCCTTGCATAAAACCGTATTGTGCTCTGATATTGAACGTATTATTTTATTTATAAATAAGATATCACCTACCCACACACACTTTGGCCTTGAGTTATTAAAATGTTTCCCTCTGCCTTATCTTTGGATTCGAAAGAGATATTGAACAATAGAGTTAAATGGTTAAACCACAATTCATGAATGAAGAAATCCAGTATTCATAAGTGAGATGATTTTAAGCTTCATACTATCATACGACTTGTTATTAAATAACAAATCGCATGATATATTGTATGAAGCTTAGAAACATCTCACTTATGAATACCGGAATTCGTTATTATTATTATTTATTATTAGGCCTATTATTATTATTATTATTATTATTATTATTATTATTATTATTATTATTGTTTTGTTATTATTATTATTGTTATTATTATTATTATTATTATTATTATTATTGTTATTATTATTATTACTATTATTATCATTATTATTATTATTATTATTATTATTATTATTATTATTATTATTATTATTATTATTATTATTCATTACGTATGTCGCAATACACTTTGAAAAAAATGGGAAAATCCAAAGTATACAGGTTGGCCTCAAAGCTTACCTGGTACAGTAAACGGTATTCCCCTGGGAATAATACGTTTAAAAAAAAAAATGTATTATCATTCTTATCAGTTACTAGTAATGGTGTTTCTCCATACTAAATTCATTGCAAATGCAGGGGCGGGTCTGTGTTTAGGGGCGGGGGTCAAAATGTTTATAAAAAACCCCAAAAAGAAGGGGAGGGGGTGTGGGCCCTTCCCCGGGAAAACCTTTATTCCCAGATAGCGGGAAATGAGCTTTCCCGAATTTTGAGGTGTCTTTTAATGACTTTTAGGTTCTTCAAAATTCAAGGTTGTTCCCAAACTTGAAAAAGATTCCATGAATCGTGAACCCTAAAGAGGAGAGTTCTTCTCGGGAAAATTTTGATTCCTAGATGGCAGGAAATTAGCTTTCACGACTTCTGAATTGTCTTTTAAATTCTTCAAAATTCAAGGTTTTCCCCTCTTGAAAACGGTCAAATAAAGTTTTCTCATTCCTATTACAGTAAATAGGCCTATCATGTGTATACCGGTATACGTTACATACAGAAAAAATTGAGTGGTTGCATATGTATTCTTTTTTTTCCATGAATCGATAAACACTAAAAAGAAAGGAGGTCGGCGTCTTCCCGCAGGAAATCTTTGATTCCTAGATGGCGAGAATGAGCTTTATCCCGACTGGTAATTTTCCCATTGTAACAGGACCCCTCTGACCCCTAGATCCGCCAATGCAGTACAACCATTGAGGAAAACGTGTCCTAATGGAAAAATATAAGGGAGTGTACTGTGTACCACTTTCCACCATTCATAGCTCAGTTGATAAGTTTGGAATCCGAACAGTAATCAGAAGTTCTGTGGTTAAAATTCTGACAGGGTACTTTAATTCTTCTAAAATTCTCCTTAATCTTTAATAAGATCTAGCAGGTGCGGCACCAGTGGGTGGGGCATCGGGGAGCAATCCCCGGGTTGAAAATAATTTATATGTATTTTCTACATACTATAGAAGATTCTAAACTAAATAATATATTGTAATAATTGGTTTAATAATAATAATAATAATAATAATAATAATAATAATAATAATAATAATAATAGAAATTTTTAATAATTTTAACTATGCGATTTTTAATTTTTATTTTTCTTCCTTGTGAGAATGTCGCTTTTTTTTTATGATTTTACTGTTTTTATTATTGAGGTTTTTTTTTAGTGTCTTCTTATCTTATTGTACATTTCAAAACTCATATTTGTTTTGCAATAAATTTATATTGAATTGAATCAAAACTAGATTAAATAAGCCTTTGAAACCCCTAAATTGTCATGTTTTCCAGGTCCACTTCGAATTTTGAGCGACGCCCGACCGCGCTCACTTTGCTATCGTCGGGGCAATCACACCACCAGCGGTGGCGCCAGAAATTTAGCGACAAGGGGTCCGTCGTAGGGGTCCGAACCAAGGCGACGACAAAGCTCGGTCGACGGCCTGGAATAAAAAAAATTATGTTAGGGTTCATGGAGAGAGTTTTTATAGCTTAATTTGGTCCTAAATGTGCTTTAAGACCACAATATTAGGGAGTGGCAATCAAAATAGCATTATTTGGATAGGCAAATTATTTTTTCCATTTTTTTGGTCCGACAACCTAGTCGTTCTTCGGACGACAGGGGGCCCCGTCCTGTCCTACGGGTGGGAAAATGCCTACCCTGCACCTGCACCCTATCCCCGTTAGAGACATCAAACCTGGTGTTATCCCTGATCACTAGATTCCAGAAGATGATATGATATTTATTAATATTGCCTCTTTTTCTAGTACTGTTTTATATTTTGTATATTCCAATCACTACTATTGTTTTATGATTGCAATAAAGATTTATTTGATTTGATTTTGTGTTCCACCATACCAGTGGTGGCGTCAGTGGTCCATTGTGCTTCTACAGATGGGCCACATCCCTAGCGCCACCATGCTTGCAGCTGAGATTTTAGGTTGCCACTTCTACATGCCCGAAGATGTCACTAGCAGGCATAGGCCTACCTCTGGCTTGCAATACGATTCTAAATAATTTTTCCTGACAGATTTTGAAGTGACCGATGAATGGTCCGGATGGCCCTAGGTCCAGAAATTCCACCTGGTTGCACCACCCCTGCTCATTGCCAAAGTTATTATTATTATTATTATTGTATACTTATATAGCGCATATCAAAAGTTACAATCATGAATATGAAACGAAGTTATCGTACTGAATATTCAGTACCGTACATTCTCAAATACTTGCAAAAAAAAAAACTTGAACGACCTCCAACTAACTAGCTGGTGTCTCAACCACTAGACTACCGAGCTTGGGCTAATGGCTAGAGATGATTCCGATCCCCAAGTAGCAGCAGGTACTGCAATGCTATTCTGATGGCAATTTTTCGCATCATTTCGTATTATTTCTTCTGATGGAAAAAAAACCCGTCGGAATACAATTATGAAGTTAAGTAGAGAACACATTCTTAAGTTAAAGATGTACTATCTGCCATAAGGTAAAACAATTGAAAATTTTAATTTTTCATTTGTATTGCTTTATTTGTATAGTATATAAGTATGTCAGTAACTAATAATCCCCGTCAATTTTCGGACAGTTAAATAATAATTTCCTGTATCAATTTGCATAGCTCCTTAAATTTTTTGGAAATCCAAGTAAAATGTCAGTAAATCAGTAAAAGCTATATTTTTTCCCGATCTGTTGCTTGTTGGAAGCTAATAATTAATTTGATCATTTTGAATGAGCTATTCCAAATCTTTGAGGTACTTTCCTGTCCTTTTGAATGATAGCACATCTATAAGGAATCATCATCACCATCCACATATATTATCATTATTACTATGTTTTTCTATACTGGTATGGGTTAGGTGGATTCATAGGCCTACCACCCCCCTCCCCCACCCCAACCCTCAACTTGCATTCTGTCCTAGACCAGATCATTTAGGTATTGTTAGTTAGAACGAACAGTTGTGAGTTATAATACTTGTTTGATGTAAATGAGATACACAGGCAGCGGGAAGACGTACATCGCATTGTGGGTCTGTAGCGCCTTTGATCTAAGCCGCCAGATATCCAAATCGTTAGTGCATCTCATTCCCAGGCTGGCACTTCGCGTTTTACACCTTCTCGTATTAGTTTTTAGAACGATAAACAAGGGGAAAGGGACAAGCACGAACTTTAACCTTAAAAAATGCGCGAGTTTGTGCGAGTTAATGCATATTTCGTCTGAATCGATAAAAAATCCTGTCAAAACTCAATAAAATGTGCAATTATTTGTAAAAATTGACCTAACCTAACATGAAATGCGAGCGAAACTGGTGGCATTTTTAGGCACTTTCAGGGGTGAAAAGTGCATCTTCTTTCCCTTTTCCCTTTCTCAATTTTCCCAGAGGAGGGAAAACAGGGGGAAAGAGTTTTACCCAGGGGCCACTGGTCCATTCTAAAATGTGAAAAAAAAAAAAAAAAAAAAAAAAAAAAAAAAAAAAATAAAAAAAAAAAAAAAAAAAAAAAAAAAATACAGTAATAATTCTTTGCATGTGTATTGATGGTGCAAGAATATGGTAATAAATAAAAAAAATAATGAAAATGCTTATATTTAGTTTCAAACGCAAGTATGTAGGCCCATGGTAGGCTATATTCCGTTAAGATGTTCGTATTGTCTTCTATATGGAGATGGGTTGGGGTATCACACCGGGTCATAAAATACTAACCGGGAAAATGATTATCTTCCCCAGCCGACCCAAGACCCCTGCTACGCGCCTGGCTGTTACAGTAGCTTCCTTCTCCCCTAAAGCATAGTTTCCATACAATCGCTACACGCTACTGCCGACAGCTCTCGGTGATTCTGATTGGTCGGTCGAATCGGGGAGCATTACCACCACTCATTTTAAGGAAACCAGGCTTAAAGGTTTTTTTCTTGTCTGAGCTATGCGATAAGATGGTACCAACTGCTCTCATCATATCAGTCCACAACAGGGGCCCCTTTGGACTGGGGCCCAGGGCTTGTCCCTGGAGAGCCCATAGGTTTTACGCTACTGATTTAACTGTCTCTACTCTTATAATGAACTAGCCACTTTCGTAAAAGAACACTAAATCTTTTAACGTAGGCCTAGTTAAAAAAAACATAAATCCAAATTTCATAAGCCTTTAAGGTTTCCGTTTGTTCTCTCTTTACTTTTTTATCTTCGTAAATTTTGAACAATTGTATATTAATAATGAATGAATTCGGCTGTACTTCATGAAGAAAAATCCTTTCCATATAGGCCCGCTGAATAAAACTACGAAATTCTTCAAGCATGAAGCGACAACCAGATGGTAGGCCTATTTCTGTTATTGTTGTACGGTATCTGATAATAATTAATACCAATTGACAGAGAATTTTTGGCTTGAGGCTTTGAGCCTTGCATAAAACCGTATTGTCCTCTGACATTAAACGTACTGTATTATGTTATTCATAAATAAGTTTTCATCCACCCACACACACTTTGGAGTTATTTAGAATGTTTCTCCCTATCTGCCTTATCTTTTAATTCGAAAGAGATATTGAACAATAGGAATAAATGGTTAAACCACAATTCATAAATAATTATTATTCATTGCGTATGACGCAATACACTTTGAAAAAAATGGGAAAATCCAATGTATACAGCTTGGCCTCAAAGCTCACCTGGTACAGTAAACGGTATTCCCCTGGAAATAATACGTTTTTTTTAAAAATGTATTATCATTCTTATCAGTTACTAGTAATGGTGTTTCTCCATACTAAATTCATTGCAAATGCAGGCGCGGGTCTGTGTTTAGGGGCGGGGGGTCAAAATGTTTACAAAAAACCCCAAAAAGAAGGGAGGGGGTGTGGGCCCTTCCCCGGGAAAACCTTTATTCCCAGATAGCGGGAAATGAGCTTTCCCGAATTTTGAGGTGTCTTTTAATGACTTTTAGGTTCTTCAAAATTCAAGGTTGTTCCCAAACTTGAAAAAGATTCCATGAATCGTGAACCCTAAAGAGGAGAGTTCTTCTCGGGAAAATTTTGATTCCTAGATGGCAGGAAATTAGCTTTCACGACTTCTGAATTGTCTTTTAAATTCTTCAAAATTCAAGGTTTTCCCCTCTTGAAAACGGTCAAATAAAGTTTTCTCATTCCTATTACAGTAAATAGGCCTATCATGTGTATACCAGTATACGGTACATACAGAAAAAAATGAGTGGTTGCATATGTATTCTTTTTTTTTCCATGAATCGATAAACACTAAAAAGAAAGGAGGTCGGCGTCTTCCCCCAGGAAATCTTTGATTCCTAGATGGCGAGAATGAGCTTTCCCGACTGGTAATTTTCCCACTGTAACAGGACCCCTCTGACCCCTAGATCCGCCAATGCAGTACAACCATTTAGGAAAACGTGTCCTAATGGAAAAACATAAGGGAGTGTACTGTGTACCACTTTCCACCATTCATAGCTCAGTTGATAAGTTTGGCATCCGAACAGTAATCAGAAGTTCTCTGGTTAAAATTCTGACAGGGTACTTTAATTCTTCTAAAATTCTCCTTAATCTTTAATAAGATCTAGCAGGTGCGGCACCAGTGGGTGGGGCATCGGGGAGCAATCCCCGGGTTGAAAATAATTTATATGTATTTTCTACATACTATAGTAGATTCTAAACTAAATAATAAATTGTAATAATTGGTTTAATAATAATAATAATAGAAATTTTTAATAATTTTAACTATGCGATTTTTAATTTTTATTTTTCTTCCTTGTGAGAATGTCGCTTTTTTATGATTTTACTGTTTTTATTATTGACGTTTTTTTTTAATGTGTCTTCTTATCTTATTGTACATTTCAAAACTCATATTTGTTTTGCAATATATTTATATTGAATTGAATCAAAACTAGATTAAATAAGCCTTTGAAACCCCTAAATTGTCATGTTTTCCAGGTCCACTTCGAATTTTGAGCGACGCCCGACCGCGACGACGAAGCTCGGTTGACGGCCCGGAATAAAAAAAATCATGTTAGGGTTCATGGAGAGAGTTTTTATAGCTTAATTTGTTCCTAAATGTGCTTTAAGACCACAATATTAGGGATTGGCAATCAAAATAGCGTTATTTGGATAGGCAAATTATTATTTTTTCCTTAAAAAAACAAAAACATACTACTTACTATATTATGCTTGAAATGTTTGTTTTTAATTCATTAACTGACATTTTGACATAGAATGATTGAATCATTACATTTTTCGTTGCTGATAAACATTGTAATGTCTTTTTAAAAGTAATGTTTAGCAGATGCACTTGCAACAAAATGTTAATGCATTGTCGCACCAAATCAAATTCCGACCCGAACCAAATCACTGCATTGAAAGGCGGCGCTCTGTGACTTTTACTTTTTCCCTCTAGCATTTATATTTTTTGTACGATACATTTCGTACATACGTATCATACTGGTTTGTAGAGGGCGCTTTATCAAACCAACTCATATTTTTTTTCTCGTTATCCATTGCTCTGGCTTTTTCGGCAGTCTTTCTCAGTCCAGAATTTCATATGTTTGTTGTGATGGAATCTCTATGTGAAGTGGAGTTTTTGATTTACTTTTCTTTCGTTGGGTTAATTTCGATGACTTTTTGCGTTTCTTTGTGCTACCATCATTTGAATCTAAAAAAGAAAACATAATGAGTGTAGGCAAAGATCTTATAAACACAAGATAGTGTTCTCCGCGACTTTCGCATGCAAATTTTGTAATAACGAAGTGTACGGCGCCCTCTTGCAAAAAGGAAAACTTTTGAACTTTGACTGCCTTGAGCATAGCGTACAACGCGCGACTTTATGTTTACGCGTAACAATTAGAAGCATCCGATTTACAATGCACCCTCTCTTTAGAACAATTAAGAAACAATTAACGTACTTAGTAACAAACTTCGGCGTGATGCGAACACCCTATCTCAGATCCATGGCAACAACTAGGACACCCTCTCCCAAAAGTGACTACTTTTCTGTGCCAAATCGACGCTTCTATTTGTTATGCGTAAATCGCGGAGAACGCCATCTTGTGTTTATAAGATCTTTGGCGTAGGTAAGAGACAATAAAGTATGTTCTTTTAGAGCCTCCACTGAAATCATAATAATTATTATGATTGTTTGTTTTGTTTTTACTATTCAATTATTATTTTTATTATTGAAATAATTTTTATTATAATATTATTATTACTAATCTTAACTTTTTTTTTCTTGAATGAATAAACTTGTGTTGTTAAAGCACTTCATTTATGAATACCAGGAAGTGAATAGAAACAACTAATAAAAATCATATTGAAGTCACTAGAAAAAGGGAAAAAATCCTAATTAATTTACAAAAAAGACAACACATATTTAACTATAAAGTAATTGGAGCATATATAATCAATAATGAAATTAATAATTAAAATAATAATAATAATATGGCTGTTTGAAATCACATGTGCTTTGCCACCCCTATATTAAAATGGAACATTCTGTAGTACTACAACAATACTGTATCTAACAACTGTAATTATGATGGAGAAACCTACGTGTTGTAGAAGTTGAATCTGCAGGTGAAGGGTTCGTTGATCCTGTATTCCCGTACTGTAAGCGGCTGAGGTTGTCTCGAAGTGCCTGCCCATCACCATCTTCATAGCTATCAATGTCAACATGAATCTCATCCCCTTCCACTCCAGCTCTGTGAATAGTTAATATTAAAAAAAAACTGAATCTTTTAAAATTTTACGTGTAAAAACCTTAATTGCAGTGCCAGATCCAGGAATTCCAATAGAGGGGGCCCAGGGAGGGCCTTCCATAGATAGAGGGTCTAGGGATCTATCAGACATAAATTTATATATAATTTTCCTTTTTTCTCCTTTAAAAAATAATTGACCAATTTAAAGGGGGTGGGGGTTGCCAGCTGTGGCCCTAGAATCCGCCACTGAATTACGTAATGTGCTATATAAAGATTAGTTTTATTGTTGTTGACATAAAAGAATAAATTCTATTACATGTCACAATAGAAATTAAATATGCTTACTCATTTAAAAATCTGGAAAATAAATAGGAATTCCATTACTACAACTAGGTTAACATCTTGGATCATGTTGTACCAATATACGATACTAACAAAACATTTTTTCATACTTTCTTTTTTTTAATCAGCAATAAATTGTCCCATCTACGAAGCTTAACTTGCATACAATTAATACAGACCCAAATGTGGTCCCAAATTAACACAATGTCTTTTATTTTAATTATTCTATTAGAGACTAAAGTTGCTAAAGACCATTAAAAATTAAAGTCTTTATTTTGTAGGGGGACCTGTAGGTTTAAAAGCAGATTCACAAAACATAAAACACATAAAAAAAAAAAAAAAACATGAAAGAACTCATCTCCATATTTAGTACAAATTTGATTCATTAGGCAATTATTAACTACATTTATCAACTACGTAGTTAATGATTCTATTATCACTGGATTTGATTATAATAACGATCCTACCCTTCAAATCTTCCTCTTGCATCCGATTCCGGTGTAAGTAATTGTTTACGAACTCCCTTCCTCTGGTCGTCGGTATGCTGGGGACACCTTAACGACCTGTGTAAATTGATCCAAAATTATTTACTGTTAATAATGATATTAATCACAAGCAGCACCATCATAATATTATCATAATCAAATCACCATTGCAATCAAAATCATCACCAGTAGCATATTCATAATCATAGCTATCATTGTTATTACTATCAACATCACTATCATGTTCATCATAATTATTACCACTACCATTATCATCATCCTCATCACCATATCTCAATTACCTGTACCATAATCACTATCATCACTATATTATCATATCATCAAAACCACCATCATTTTCATAACCATAATCCCCATTTCCACAATCAAAATCATGATCATTATCATCATAATCACTACCACCAACACCATCAGAATTCTAATGAAATACTATCACCACAACCTTTAAGTATACTTATCTCATTACTTACTTTGTACACATTTTTTTTGTGTGTTCTGAGATGACCCCGCAAGATGACATGAGTAATTGCTTACGTTCTTCAAGCGTCATTTTTTCTAGCCGATATGAAATTGACCCTTTATATGCTATGACACCCGCATCTATGCTGCTGGAAACGCTAGCCCCT